TTTGGTCGTGCGACGAGAGTCGCAGTACGCGCGAACAGCAAGCAAGCGGGCAGAAGCCTACAGTTACATCCTACGGTCTAGCCGCCGCGCTTATTCGGCAATCTTTTTTAATTAATACTTAAATAATTATTGCGAGAATTGCAAAATAGTACAGAACGTTTCTATTCTGTTTAATGTGCTCTATCCGCTCACTAGCGTTGGTCCGCGAGTTATCGGACACCCTGTATATATACATATATGTATGCATGATAGCACACATTCTTAATTGTCTGAGTTATCGCTTATCGCTACTTCAGCATATCAAGTTTTAATATATAAGCAATGTACAGACTTTGAAGGTTGCAGTATCTAAAATACAACACATGCAGTATCATATGTGTATCACACAAATCATAAATCGGAGTAAACGCATTCTTTTTTCTATTATAAATAAAAATAGTTTTTATTCTATTATGGATAAACCAATTGTAACTGTGAAACAAGGCAAACTACAAGGAATCTTTGAAGAAAATGTTCTCGGTTCTCGTTACATCGCTTTTAAAGGCATACCTTTTGCGGCTCCGCCAGTGGGCAAGCTAAGATTTAAGGTAATTTACTATCAAATTGACTATCAAACAACTTGTCTTTATAATTTTTACACATTTATTTTTTATACTATATTGCAGCTGTTTAAAAATATTTTATAATTATTCTAATGCATTTACATTTCAAAAAATCAATAATGGAGATCGTGCAGCTTTTATTATTTTCACATTATGGTCTCACTTAATATTGAATCGTATTCTACCATTGTTCAAAATTAGGATCCCGAGCCTCCCGCTGCTTGGGCAGGTGTCCGAGATGCTTCCAGAAATGCTGGCAGTGAATGTATACAATTAACATCATTGCCAAATCCAACGTTGATCGGTAGCGAAGATTGTCTTTACCTTAATGTTTTTATACCGGAAAATATATATGGAACAAAGCGGAATCCAGTTATGGTTTGGGTTCATGGTGGAGGCTATTTTGTTGGCAGTGGCAACGACACTGACAAGCGACCCGATTATCTTTTAGCAAAAGGCGTAATTCTGGTGTCTATAAATTATAGACTCGGTGCTCTCGGTGAGATTTACTCCAACGAGAGTTGGAGTATCACAGTTTCTTTTAAATAATGCAAATTTCAAGAAATTTTATGTGTTCTATTCTATTCTAAAAATTCTATACTATATTTCTGGAAAATATCACGTGTATCTACACTCAAAAAAATGATCTTGCAATAATAGCTAAAATTTTCTAGGTGTAAAAAATTAACTAAAACAGATAAATGATTAGCAACTGTTGTGATATTGCATATGTAATTACTTAATCAGTTTAGATAACAGAAACAGAATATATATCTGTATTGTTTGTGAACTTTAAAAAGAAAGTTTCTCTAAAGCGCCAATCTATATAAGATCAATCACGTGTTAGATCATGCAATGAATAACATTTAGCAATGGTACCTAAATTTTTCAGAAGTTATTGCTAGAACATTACTGCTATAAATTCTATATGTGACAAACAATGTTTTTACAGATACGAAAATAGCGATACATTCTTGTTGCGATATCTAGAAATCTAACTACATCAGCGAAATATTTTTTTGAGTGTATGATAACATATATGTAGAACGTTTATCGTACGTTGTCTTAAGTACACTTTAAACTTTCAAGGTTTCTTGAATCTTGATCATGAGATAGCAAGCGGAAACCAAGGTTTAAAAGATCAGGCTGCTGCATTGAAATGGATCAAAGAAAATATCGAAACTTTTGGCGGAGATTCTAACAATATCACTGTTTTTGGTATTAGTGCAGGTAGTTCATCCACGCATTTACTTATGCTATCGCCGCTATCCAAAGGTATGCGTATAATTTATTTTTAGCAATAACAAGTAATAATATAACAAAAATATTCTGCTCGAGAATGAAATATTAATATTATTTTACATTTTTCTAGGTCTTTTCCACAAAGCCATTCTTCAGAGTGGTATAGCTACATGTAATTGGGCGGTATTGAAGAACAAACCGGAAGATAATGGTTTCAGACTCGCATCATTACTCGGTAACGATTCTAAGGACCCTGAGAAAGTTGTTGAATTTCTACAAACAGTACCCGCCAGCGAAATCGTCGCGACGCAGTATAAGATTTTTGATCTGGTAAATTGCTTTTTAATAATTCTACTTTATATTATTTCTAAGTATTGAATTAGCTTAATGCACTATTTAAGAATTTATCTATTTTATATAACCAACGTTATGTTAATGATTGTATTGCTAAATACTCAAGATTTTTTGTAGGAACAACGCATTATTAATATCCCATTTAGACCCACGATCGATGAAAAAGCAAAGACACCTTTTCTTCCACGTCCCATTTCTCAGTTGCTTCATGATGACAATGATATACCAATTATGCTTGGTTCTACTTCTTATGAATATATCATGTTTCTTAAAGGTGTATTAAAAATTGTTATAAATTAATGAATTTATATACTATTCCACAAGAAATGGGAAACAATTTTCAGACGCATAAAATCGAGCAATTTTCAAACCACTGAAACTTGGCAAAAAATCGTCGCAAACAAAAAATTAAAAAAGTATTTAAAAGCTTGAAATTTGTGTTTTTACGTGCTTTAGGCTGTTTTCTAGAAATGATAATTTTTCACCAAATTTTAGTGGTTTAAAAATTGCTTAATTTTGAGCATCTGAAAAGTGTTGCTTATTTTTTGTAGAGTTACATGTATATTAAATATTACATTTTACAATTATGTAAAATTTTCAACATAGCTTTGTATTTTTAAAATTAATAACTTATAGATTATTTATCCGCTAATAGATACCAGTGAAAACACTTTAAAAACGCAATACGAAGATTTACCACGTAAAATACAAACACTTACGGACTCAGAAGACCCACAAAAAATAATGCAATTGACGGAGCGAGCCAAACAATGGTATTTAAATAATAAGCCGTTCACTGAAGAGAATATCCCATCTCTTTTACGACTTCTGAGTGATATTTACTTCGATATCGCTATTAAAACTTTTACGGATAAACGAAGAAAAAGGAAACAGGCGCCGGCTTATCTGTATAAATTTTCATATATCGGTAACGAGATGACCACCACACGACTCAACGGAAATAAATTAGCTTTATGTGGTAATTTGTGCAACTTTTTTATAAAACTTTTATGGCTCAGTCAATCTCTGTTTTGAGTTTTATGTAATTGGCATTTTAGGAGCTTCTCATACCGACGAATTGTCATACCTTTTTTACATACCTAAATGTAAGGTCAATGATCCTAAACCGCCGGCGGTAAATTCGAAGGATCGGAAAATATTAGAAATTCTTACGACTATGTGGAGTAATTTCGCAAAAACAGGGTAAGTATGTATGAATAATGCACGGATGTTGTTAAAAAAGATTGTAAGAATATTTAAATGTACTTTTCTGTCTTTAGCAATCCTACACCTGCCTTTGATCAGCATATAAATACTATTTGGCCACCAGCAACAGCGGATGCCTTTAACTGCCTAGACATCGGAGATACTCTTCAAGTTTTAACCGTTACTGATTACGATTACATACTGCGAGACTCGACGTTATAAGAGTTGTACGAATGATAATATGTTAACTCATAAAATTTTAATGGTTGTTGGTTTATACACTGTCAGTGTTTAAAACATTATGTACCACATAAAATAATGAATACCTCTCTATTTGTAGAGGCACTTATCAATATAATTTGCATATAGATATATAGATATGTTCTTTATTTTTCTATGTAAATAATTTATAATACAGATGTTGCCCGTTTTATCTTTACAGTACAACTGCGGGGAAATGTTTTGCAAATAATAATTTCAAATTCAATTGCACTTATGTATCCAGTAGAGTATAATACTAAATACAATATCGTTATTTGTTCATGAAATATTATATTTTCAATTATGTACACATTTGTCAAAAATCGCATCTCGTAACGTAAGGTAAGGTATTTAATAAAAGTGCCGATTATATAGCACTAATTACAGAAATTACATTGGAGAAACTTATATATTTTCAGTACAACAAACGTGATTTTTTTAACTTGTTGGTGCAGTTACAAATAGCGTTTAAATAAATAAATTAAAAAAAAAAACAGATTAAGAAGCAAATTGTGATACAAAGATTCTGAGAGCCGGATTTCTCCGCGGACTCTGCGACGCGAGCGACAAAAATTACAAATTGTTCTTTGCATAAATTCTCTATGGGAATGATCGCTCATTCTAACAAGTGCGTGTCCCTTTAGTATTGGTACGATCTATAATTAATACAAGAGGTAAAAATAATTTGCGTGTTTTAAATGTTAGGAACGAGCAAGTATTATGATTTCAACTATATTCAACGAATTGCACATCACGCCCCTATATGTATATTTGCATAAAGAACAATCTTTCTACATATTCGTGACTTCTCACAAACAATGTATTTCTATTTCGTTTGAAAATGATACGAAGATCAATCTACTTCGATTCTGCCGTGTATTTTAAATACATTGCATTTTCTTCCTGTATTTGCATTTTGACGTGTATTTCAAAAGACGTCTTTACTTATTCCAGAATGCGAAAGCTTTCTGTATTCTCTCGTTGTGCGACTTTTCAGTGACAATAGCTGCAGAATACGCACGCTGCGCCGCGGGAATCTGCGAATTGTCCGATTTTGATGTTTCACTTTCCCTTTCGAACATCCTGGCCGTACGACTCACATTTCCGGTTGAGGGAAATTTATTGTGGCTACGTCCGCTTAATATCCTTGAGTCCGAACTCTCGTTGGCAACTGCAAAAAATTGTGAAATTTTAATATTATTTTATTATTTATGATAAGTGATCGTCAATGTTACAAGCAAATTTCATTGCGTTTGCACACACCTTTTCGCACAGGATTAGTTTCACACGAAGCTTTAGTCACATCACTCTTTGTAGCTACCTTGCTGTCGTCCGTAATGCTTCCGGTTCTGTACGAAAGAGTTTCCTTGTCTCGCGTTAAACCCGTTAAGATCCCCGCCGTTAAACTTCGCCGATTTCCTTCTGTTTTCAACACTCGTTTACCTTCTCGAAGTTCGTGATCTGCTTCTTCTTCGATGGTGGATACTATTCCAAGTTCGTCCACTTGCAACGAAGAAGTCACCTGATTCGAGCTGCAATCGCCTATTCCGGAATCGCGTGAATCGCCTCGGAATACTCTGCGCAATGCCTGCGACTTTGAGATCGTGTGTTGTTCTACTTCGAAAGATTTTTCTATCGATTCTTTGTTCTTTGCTTTATTATTGTTTGACATCAAAATCTCTAGATGTGCTGTGACTCTTTGTGAAATATTTTCCGCCTTCGAAATTAACTCGGTATCTAATTTAGGCATTTCTGTTTCGATTTGTTTTGAAAAACCATTCAAATTGCCTTCTTCCTCCGTCGGTGTCTTTAATATCTTTAAGTTCACTTCTGTCACACATGTGGAGTGCGAACGTGCCCGTGATTCCGCTTCGGCAGAGTTTTCTTCCGCGCTCGTCTCGACATGTTCTGCATCTTCGGCATCTGCTGCGTCGGCATTAATGTGAACTGATTTGATCTTATCAGAATATTGCAGCTCAATGCTATCAAACTGTTGTTCAAGCGTAGGTGAAGATTCCGCCGTTGTCGTGGGACTACGTCTACTATTTGCCGAGAGAATCGTCATTCTTCCCAATGCACGAATGGCATTTCCTGTTTTCTGTTAAAACAAATCACGTAGCGCGTGCACACTCTGAGCTCAAAACAACGCATACTAAAATTTCTTAAAAAGCAATACCGCAAATTAAAGAAAAATTATGCATATTAAGTAGGTGTTAATGTTATATTCCAAGAGACGTTATTTGGTTAATAGAATCTGGTAAAAAACACAATCAATATATAAAAACATATTAAATATTAAATAATTAAATGCGATTAAATGTTCACCAGTTCTCAATCATCAATAAAACATACTATTTTCTCGTTCGAAATTTATCTACTTTACATTTGTGCAATTTTCCTTTTTCATTCTTTTAATGTCATGCAAAATAATAATCAGTATAATTTTCAGCAAAACTGCCGATTCATCGATACGCACCTGCCATTTCCGTCGTATGATGAATTTCTTTAACTTTTCCGTCGGCAGAGCTACTCTACTCATCGCCGCAGTCTGCTGTGCCATCCACGGATGTTCTAAACATTGTGTAGCCGACATGCGCGTTCTGTGTAAAAAAAAAGCATATTTAATTTTATGGGATTAGTCCGTAAATATGAAATAAAGAATACTTACTCTTTCCGTTTGATAAGTAAGCCGCTAATAAAGCTCTTAGCGTTATCCGAAATGGCGTCGAAAGCTTCATCTTCTAAATCATAGTCCGCTCGTGTAATATTAGCAAAGGTCTCGGCATCATTATCTCCCATGAATGGCGATAAACCGGTTAGTCTACGCATTACACGGTCACAATCTATCAGTTAGATATATATTATTAAAAAGATAATGGCTCAAAAATAATCGACACTCACAGAACATAGCAAATTACGCCAACGCTCCACATATCTGATTCAGTGCCGATGGGTTCGTAACTTATGATTTCCGGAGGAATAAATTCCGGTGTGCCGAAAAGAACTCTGACCGGTGTGTCCAATTTTAAAGTTTGAGCCAATCCAAAATCAATCAGTTTAATTTGATGAGAAGTTCGCGTACAACACATTATATTTTCCGGCTGTAAAGTGGACGAACTGTTTAGCACATGCACCGCAAATTAATAATTGAAAACAACTCGCAAAATGTCGTACCTTTAAATCCAAATGCACGATGTTGTTCTCGTGCATATATTCGACTCCTTGACAAATTTGTCTCATAAAGAGAATACTGTCTCTCTCGGTTAAAGTAAAGTCGTCAGCTACCACTCTTTCGAACAGTTCTCCACCTGAAATACTGAAGAGAAATTTGGATATTGTAATATTATCAAAATTAAGTTAATATTAGACGATTAAATGTACTTACTATTCCGTGATCAACACGGTTTCGCGAGGATTTTCGTAAGCGGCAGCTAGCAACAAAAGTTTAGGATGCCTTAACGCGTTCATAATGCTGACTTCTTCGCGCACTTGCTCGCGATCTTTCGCTTTGATCGTTCTAACAAATTTGGCAGCAAAGTTCATGCCTGTCGTTCGTTCGATGACCTTTTTAACTATGCCGTATCGGCCCTTTCCCAGCTCTTCGAGAATGTCGTATCTTTCGCCGAAAAGTTTTCCATCTTCCGGCTCCACTACGCGAGCTTCGAAACTCGACTCGAATTCGTCTTGAAAAATAAGATGGTCACTTTATCAGTCAATTAAATTCTCATTAAATCGTATTTTAAAAAAATACATTTTTGAATAAATAACACATGATTTTTAGATAGTCACCTTCTTCTTCCTCCTGGAACATCGCTTCTCCTTGCTTCGGAATCCTGACTGGCTCCGACTCCATCCCAGGATCACTGAGTCCGTGGATATTCTCAGCCCGAACGCGAAAACGATAGCTCTCACCCGGTGTGACGGAATTTGTTTTAGCTGTAGGTACCGTATGACTCAACGAGTGACAAGACTCGGCGATTACCGTCCACGTGCTTTCACCGGCGCGCTTTGCTTCCACGGTATATCCGATCACCGTACGACCTCCGTCGTAAGGAGGTGATCGCCAGACGATCGTGGCCTGACCAGCGCTGAGGTTCACGCTCGGCTTATCCGTAATCGGCTCGGGCGGGCCTGAATGGAAAGGAAAATCTTTTCTTACCGCAAATGAGTCACTCGTTATATCCTCCTTTGCGTCGATTTATCGCGCCGAAAAACAAACGTTTGTGGCACACATCACTGTGACACACATTTTATCTGCGGTACGCGCGATTAATTTAAATTCCACGGTAATGTTATGGGTTGTCAAAACGCGCACTCGGAGCGATTGCGTGTGTTTTGAAAAAATCCGTACGTCACTGCGCTACGTCGTCGAGATGCGTCGTTGGAACACTGTTCGCGGACGCGTATATTCCTTCTCACGGTATCTCGCTGATACTTAGACACACGGCGAACTCAAGGAAAAAGGAAGAAGAGGTGGAGCTGATGCCAGAGGAGGAAGCGCAGGCGGTGGAAGCGCGGGAAGGAGGAATTATTGCACGGCGTGTCACATGAGACTGCCGTCTGCCTTGTACGCGAGAGAAGAGGAACTGGACCGTGCAACACGCACTTACGCGCATGAAACAATGGGTGATGTCTCGTTCTAAATTGCGTTCGCGAACAGCACGGGCGAACCCTGAGATAACGTTTCCACTGAATATCGTCGATCGGCGTCGCTGATACTCTCCGCGTAATTAAGTTTAATTAAGTCAAGGCCGAGAGTCGAGTAACGCCGAGTCACAGCTTAACAGCATGCCATAAATTTTTTGGATATACGAATCTTTGTGAATGCAAACAATACAAATGAATAGCTTACCTTCTACGGCTAAGCTGAAGAACTTTCGTTCTTTACCCAGTGAATTTTCCACGGAAACCTCGTATTTTCCAGCGTGATCATACGTCACATCGTCCAGGATCAGGCAGGATACACCATTTCCGCTGGTTATTTTAGTCTTTTCATTCGGCCGCAGTTCTTGATTCTTAAATTTAAATAAAAATGTTTTTTCCGCACAGGAAATATGCCAGAGACACGAACAATTAATCAATATAACACAGATAATCTTGATTATTGCCAGCTGCGTACTTGGCTGCACGAAAAGCAATGACACGATCGGGCTATAAATTTCGATTAACTTTTTCCACGGTTTACACATCTGCTGCATTTTGGTGGGGACTTTACACGTATTATGGGGAGAAATTGCTTTAGTATATTTCCCGCGGCTGAAGATAAGCAAACGACTATCTTGAATAATTAACAATATTATTTCTGTGAAAATTGTTCACGTTTATTCGCGTCGTGATAAGACTAATAAAAGTTGTTTAGATTAATGGAATTTGACCGCGCGTATTTACATCGACGTAGCTTGCGTTATATTCGCGAAACAAAGCAACCTTTGTTGAGAATAGCTTCTGTTACATACATAATCTACTTGTGTGAAAGATCAGAATTATGTAACACGCGTCATTAAATTATTGGAAATGAATATTTCTCATTCAGCTCGGTTCTTAATCAATAAAATTGAATTGCAAGCAAAAAAAATAAACCTACCACTTGAAGCCACTTGACCGTCGGTTCGGGAAATCCTTGATAAGTGACTCTAAGTGCTACCCTGTTTTCTTTGAACACGGTGACGTCAGTTGGTTCTTTGATTATCGTAGCTTTTATCAACTCTTTTAGACACGATTCTGCGTGTTCTTCATTCAATATGACATTTGTATTCTGACGGTGTTCTTCTTTTCTTGGCCATAACAATCTTGCGGAAGTATCAGTTATAGCTGTCTCGTTTGATGACGATAATGATCGATCGTTCGAAAATTCCACATTATTATCTAAATATTTCTCTGCAATTTTGTGCGCTGATAGATCATTTCTAAATTGTGATTTTGCAACACTAGCATTATTGGAAATGCGTTTCCTTGCTAGCAAAGGAGAAACATGTTTAGTACACGATGCAGTTTGACGAGGAAATGAAGATGATCTGATACGTGTTGGCGATTCTTCACATCGTCGCCGATATTTTAACTCGACTTTTTCCGGTAATTGAATATCTTTAAGACTTTTCACAGAATCGTCGAGATCGTATAGCGAATGTTGCAGTCGCAATTTGGCACTACAACTGATGGACGGACCCTTTCCGTTCACGGAGGCTGTGCATCGAATCTCTCCCGTGTCGCGCGATGATGTGTCACGTATTCTCAAGATGCTGACGTTGCCATCTTTTTCGATCTTTAAACACACAAATAAATAATTACAAGCAATGTGTTAAATAATGTTTAAATTGTAAGTCTGCAATTATTAATTTATTCGTATATTTTACTTTACGTACTTTACAATTCGCTTTTTCTCGAACGTCTTTCCCATTAATCGTCCAAATAATTTCCGTGGTTTTTCCAGATTGCACTCGAGCGCAAAAGCAAGCAGTGGCGCCTTTAGCGACGACAGTTGACAGTGGAGTTTTTGTAAATTGCGGTGCCAATTTGGAAGCGTCTTTGTAGTCTAACGCAAGATATTAAAAGATTAGAACTAAATATACAGGCAAGTGTTCTATATTAACAATATTAAAATCAATAATTTAAGAATTGAAATATAATAACGCAAAAACAAATCAAACCTTGCACAGCGAAAAGACTACTGCAGGATGCGACACCGAAATCATTTCGTACGACACAGGTATATTCGCCTGCATCTTGAGGACGAACCTCAGATAATCTCAGAGCAACGTCACCATCTCCATATATGATATATTTATAACAATCATTGTCAGGCAATTCGCGACCATCTTTACACCAAGCGACTGTGAAAGGAGGTGTGCCTGTAACATTAAAAACAAGAAAAATGTATTTGACTTTAAATCTATATTAATTGACTTTCTCAAAAGCTCAGTGAGGTACAAAATTCGAAGAATAAAACCAATTCTACCTGTGACTCCAGTCTGAAATTCGTGACAATGATTCTCCATGACAATCGATTCTTCCGGCAACAATTGCAGAAATCGCGGTGCACTCTTGTCCGCCATAGATGAATTATGGTTATTTAGTACAGTTACCTGTAGATAAAAAAACGTGATATAATGAAAATTTGAAGGTATAAGATAATATAGAGATACACAGACGTTGTCGATGGCAATACACTGATCGCTTGACTTTGCGTTACCCGCGTTTGTTTTTCAAGTCAAGAGCTCACTCGCCTCGGAAAAAATGTTGTCTTCCCGAAAGCCGAAATAATAATGAGCGAAACAAGCCCCGCTAGCGATCCGACAACAAATCAGATTATTTGGTGTAATCGAATAAGCGATATCTATTACTCGTGTCGAATGTGCGGAAAAAACAAAATAGAAAATAAAATTCTTTACGCGATCTTTAAAACTTTTCAACACATATTATAATTTCATATCACATTGCAATAATTTACTGGCCCTTCCACGTCTTAAGCTGCCACTAAATTGCCGAAAAATTCACGCGAACGGCTAACAAAGGCTAACTAAGTGGCGAAAATGGCGATTCATTCACCTGACAAGTACTCCTCGTTGACCCAAGGACATTGGTTGCCACACAAGTGTATTCACCCGCGTCACTAGCTTTCACTTTTGTTATTTCGATTTTGGCCGTCGTACCGTCGAAATATCTTTTTATTCTAGCGGAACGTTCCAACGGCTGTCCGTTTCTGTGGGAAAATTTCATAAATGATATTTTTTCTCACAGATCTGTCTTGCGTTAAAGTCTCCGCATTTTCACCTGTGCCACGTTGGCGTTACGGTCGGCGTTCCTCTTACGCGACACTCCAGTTGCAGGCGTCCGTTTACTCTGCTGGTGGTCGAAAGAAGACTGCGATCGAATGTCGGATAAGTTCTAGGTGAAGCGCTTCGTGTTCTGATAGTCCGACTCGTCGACTCATATCGATCTTTTCCAAATTAATTAACAATAAATTAATGGATTTGAAAAAGATTCGTAAGGCAGAAAGGATATCTTTTGTGCGAGATAAATACGTACTTATTACTTCGAGTCGAGCACTGGCCTCGATCCGCCCGAAATCATTCTCCGCCGTCACTCTGTAGAGAGCGGCGTCCTCTCGCATCACGTCGATTATCTCGAGGATCTTAACGTCATCCCGTTCCTTGATGGTGATTCTCGCGCTTGGTGTTACGATGGTGCCGTTTTTGTCCCATCTTACCCAGGGCGCGGGATGACCAACCACGGCGCACTGGAAGCGCACAGTTTCACCTTCCTGGACCAGGCGGTTGTGCGGCACCGCGTAAAATTTCGGCGGGCAGACCTTCGGACGTTTCGACGTGGCGCTCCGCGGCAGAACTTGCGGCGATCTGAGTTCACGTCCGTCTAAAGGTAATTTTTATCCAATTATCTTTAATATCATTGTTATTTGTTTCTTTGCTTGTTTTTTTTTATTAGATTGAGCTTTTTCTATTTTAGCTTAAACTTACGAGGGACTGCCGGGGACAAGCTTCTGATTGGAGTCGACCTTGGTGTTGATCTCGGTGTCGATCCTGCTGACAGCAGACCCACTGGCCTCGTCAACCTTTGGTTCAGTATATTTTCTTTTCCTTCAGGCACTGCAACACATATTCATTCAGATCTTTACGAGATACGAAATTTTTCAAGCAGTTTTTGACACACTACATGATCTTCTCAAAAAGAGAAAAAATTGTTACTAATTTTTAAACTTTTTCAAGCTTCTGCATATTCTTCTGAGAAAATTATAAGAAATGCGACAAGATATCGTCAGCAATATAATTTTTTATAAAGAAAGATTGTAATTAAATTTGTCACATATCAGTGACGAATACACGTCATTAAAAATTACTTATACAAAATTATGATTAACTTGTCGACGTTAATCACATCGGTACTCTTTAAAAGTAGCCGACGATTAGCATGACAAATGCGAACATAATTCAAAAGGACGGCTGCGACCGCACGTCTATTTAAAACGCTTTTGTGAAGCGTAGCCGAGAGTTATGTAAAATTACCATCCACGACTAGACAGGCTGATGTATACGCTTTTCCAAGATCGTTGTATGCCACACATGTATACTCCCCTTCATCCTCGGGATAAACGTGCTGGATGCTTAATCGCGCTGTTTCACCGTCGAAATCAGAGGCAAAATCGCCCACCATAGCTATAATCTGACGAAAGAGATATGTTGCGCATTATAGTTCGTGAATCACACATCGTTTAATAGAGCATCAGTTTTTTTTTTTTATTACTTTGCCTCCTCGTTCCCAACGAACCAAGGGCGGTTCCGGCGTTGCGTAAACCTTGCACTCTAAAGAAACAGCGTCGCCGTCGCAACACCTAAGATCTCGCAGATCTCTCTTTACGATTGGCAAGGTCAGCACTTTTCTATAGAGTGTAATGTTTCATTAATGGAATAGCAAACAGCATTGCGCATTTAGGTACGACTGAATTTTTGCAATAGCTCACCCGTGAGAAGACTTTTGCGTTTGCTCCTCTTTGCCTTGGCCTGAAAAAAAAAAAATCGTTGGATTAGACTTGCGCGACGTGTTTCGTTCGCGTCTTGAGGCTTACCTTTGGCATAAATTTGTAAAGAAATTACAGCTTTAGCTTCCCCATGGCAGTTGCGGGCTATCACGGAATACGTGCCAGTAAAATCGATCTTGGCGTAAGGTATTTCCAACCGATATTGTGGCCCTGCACCCACCAACCGAAAGTGAGGCGCGTCCTTGTAATAGTCGGGCTGCAAAACAGAACTCGTGTGAGATACGTGCGCGCAGAGATCTAAGATTGCGAGCTGCGAGCAGCTGAATGCTGTATCGCGAATGCTTACTGCCGCTTATCGACGTTTTCGCTTACTTCACACGCGGGAGTTTTATCGCTGACGGCAATAACACGCATAAGCGGACTGCGTGCGCGACGCTGCGCATTGCCGGGGAAACATAAAGAAGCGATTCAAAGTAACTTGAAATAACGTAGAGACGATTTAGACAACGTTGCCACAACGTCAATCATTGGCGGCGGATCTAAGCGCGCGAAACCATAATAAACGACGAAGATATATCGGCTTGGATGACGCTTAGCGTGTCCTCGATCGTGACCATTACGTGTGATGCGTGATTCCGCTGTAGCGAGTCACGCTCAGATTGCGTCTGTTGTATCAACAGACTTTTGGACGTTAGTTGTTACGCAAGATTGCGGGACGGGGTTAAAACTCGGCATGCGATGTTGGAAGCGGAGAGGACAGGGAGAAAAGAGAGGTGAGAGATATCTTCGTCATGGCTCTAACCCATATAGGGAGCGAAAGTCGAACAGATCGTTGCAGTCTGATCTCGTTGTGCATATTATATGAGTATACGAATATATATTATATTTTTGTCATACTGTTTTCATCATACATTTTCATGCCTGATAAATTTGACAATGTAATTTGCATTAAAAGCGTAGCAAGCAACAGACCGCCGGGAAGACACTTAATTTTCAATCTTGGAATTCCAATTGTAGCATAATGACCTTTTCGAGATGTGCGTATCTATCTTGCACCTGTCACATTAGGATCGCCTACGTGAGAATTTATGCGCAGGATACTTCCCGATCGCGAAAGACCATAAATTATATCATAGAGACAGTTTGCAAGGATTCTCGGGGGTGTCACTATGTAAATCAACGGTGCATGCTATACAAATTTATTTATATTTACACATACCAAAGCAGAATAATCCAATTAAATACAATTTATTTATTTATTCAGAAAAATCGATTTTTAATTTTAAAAATTTTGTGATCGCTAAAAACAAGTTTAGGCACATTTATCTTAATCGAATGCGTACTGCAATTTTTACGCGGCTAATTTTTGTAAGAAATGAATTGTGATGCACGTATTTAATTTATTAGTAGAATTTTGTCTAATCCTGTTAAATTTGATTTAAGCCACGATTCCTTATTTTTTTTCTGCTAAATAAATAATTAAATTAACTTAATGTTGCACTTACACTATCGTATACCACATTGAGTTGAATCTAATTTTTCCAATGAGTATTGTTTAGATTAATTAAATTCCCGTTCATTAATGTTATATAAAAGTTGTATAAAATTAATTCACATTACACTACATATATAAAAATAATAATTTGCGTTTTACACACAGCGCGACATTATCGTGTCATATAGAAGACGGAGCGGCTCTGTTCGTTCGCCAAAGTTACGCGACGACTGTTTTGCCGCTCCGTACATTACAGTACCGATTCATCGACGAAGAAAGCCGACTCTGCCGACGACAAGTGGGGACACTGTTCCGTATATATTTTGCGATTATGCAGATATTCCGTAGTGACGCGGATGCGCATCCATGCATTGACGTTTCTTCGGTCAACGCACGACTTCCGTTTCCCATTCTTGAATTCGTATATCGTCAATTGACAGCAAGTATTCCTTTCTCGTGCGCGATATGTTGAATATCTGATTCTTTTGTACGTATTAAAAATGTAACATGACGTAACGCATCGCCGTTTAAAGCACCATTCAATGTCAATGCCATTTCCTCGGCGCATACAATGCCTTGCCCATTTATGGATATAATATGCTCTATTACGCGGGGATTTTTTTCGCGACCACCTTGACCCACATAACGCGGATCAAGGATCAGCATTAGATACACGTCATTTCGCCATTTGCACAATATTTGCTTCTCTCTACGGCCACCCGCAATTTAATTGCGATTAATTAACCACCGACACATTGAAACTCTCCTTGAAGCTTGCTCGATTACATCATCGCTACTATCGAGTATGGAAGAAACGTGTATTTGGAAAGGAGCAAAAAACTAACGAATGCAATAAGTTGAAAAGCGGAGAAAAAATCGTACAGATTACCTTGAGAAAGTCGCGTAACCATATCACTTCTGGCTTAGGATCGCCGACAACTTCGCAGAGGATGACGACCGTATCGCCCTCGACTGCTTCGGTCGATAATGGTTTCGTGACGAAAAGAGGTTCCTTCGAATATCTAGGAGCAATTTTTATTTTTTTATTTTTTTTTTTTTTTAGCAACTTTGTTCTCAATGTACGCCGAAATATTGCAATGATAAGACTCACGGTATATCCGGAGATGTGATCGCGATATCGAGTGGTCCATCGATGGATAATTGATCCTGGGACTCGATAACAGCTACTCTGGTGGATGTTTCAGCATGACCGACCACATTCGTTGCGGTGCAACTGTAAACTCCGGCGTCTCGCGCGATAGCATTGGCCAGAGAAAATTGGACGGTGCCATCGTGACTTAATGTCATCACGGCCCTTCTGCTAGGTCGTAGACGAATACCGTCGCGATGCCTGCGTGATACGATCGCGAGAGGAGTGAGTCACGCATTCCGAATTGCATTGCGTCAAACGCGAAATAACTGTACTGTTAATTGTAATCATCGCCTTACCAGACGACGCCGACGCTCGGATAAGCCTCGAGTTGTGCAGACATCCGTAGTTCCCCGCCTGAGTGAATCGTATAAGCCGCGTCGAGACCGCGAAGAAATTCCGGAGCTATGTAAGCCCGAATTCCCTTATCTACTATAAGAGTACAACGGCAAGATACCGAGCCGTTTATGTTTCTCGCCGTCGCCATGTAACATCCGGAGTCGTCCAGAGTGGAATGAATTATTTCCAGAGTGTGAAAATTCGCATCGTCATCCCAAAAGATGTGATGATCTGAATCAGAAACGGATATTTGACGGGAGATCGATTTCACACTGGACGTTGCATTAACGAGTGAGATAATTACCATCTTGAACTATCTCTGCTCCATTTTTGTACCACGTGATCTCCGGAACAGGATATCCGATGACCTGGCAAGTAAGCCTTACCGGATAGGTCGTTTGCACTCGTCTGTCTCGCAGTCTCATGGCGAATTGTGGCGGTCTGTCTTCCGGTTCGATGCTCATACTTCTAACGGAATTGTACATTAGCATACTGGCCTTGTTGCAAATCGAAATAGTAGATCTACTTACGTTGTTCTGAGTTTTGCATCGGCTTCAATAATCTTTGGATTTGTCACAACGAAGACCCTGGCAAACGACGACATTTTACCGATTTTGTTGCTCGCCTCGCATACGTATCTTCCGGAATCGTTCTCTTTCACGTCCGTAATCGTCAAAGAGCATTTAAAACCATTGTAATATATTGCGAATCTTGAATCGTTACGCGGATCAATCTCCGTTGACTCGCGGTACCATCGTACTTCCATCTTAGGATCACCGCGGATCTGAAAGAAATTATTCAAAAGCGTGTGTAAGCATGTGAAGCATTAATTAATTAAAAACTACGGCACTGTGCCGTTATTCGTGAACTTGCCTCACATTCCAATTTTACGAGCGTTCCCTCGAGAGCCTTTAATTGACCTGGCAGAATCCTCGTAAATTCCGGAAGGTCGGTACTTTCACTCACCAACACCGAATTTGTCATGGTAACTGGTTCGCCCCATCCGTAACGATTTCGCGGTGTTACGCGGAACTTGTATTCTCCGCCTGGCCGTAAATTGAACGCGTCGAACGCGTTGATCGGTGTAATTCCCAGCTGACAAAACGAGTTTTAAACGATTAAATTGGATTAATTGAATTAAAATTCTTTTTATTAAATTGGATTAATTGAATTAAAATTCTTTTTATCTTACCTCTGCCCATCGTGCGCCTCCGTCACCGCCTAAGAGCCAAGCATCGATTTTATACGCGATCACTGGCGCGGGTCCTCTTCTTTCCGCTTTACCCCAAGTCAGTGATAGCCAATTTTTTCCGCCGTCTATAGCGACGGGTTCGCTACTAATTGGACCGGGCACGTCTGATAAAAATCATAAAATCACACAATTAGAATCCATTATAGAATCATCGATTTATAGAATTATTTCTCAATTTATTATAGAATTATAGAATTCATTATAAATATATAAGCCTTTTTCATATTTAAATATGAAATTTCTGAACAAGATTTATATTGACAATATTCACGGACTAACCTCGGTGTCCGTACAAATATTCTAAAAAGTCAATGATCAAACAATCCTTATTTGTCCACGAACGTCTCATACGCGAGATAGTCATATCTCCGTTTTCGTCATCGATGACGATTCCATGATCGTGCGGCTTCATGATAAATTTTATTTTATTCCCTCGACTTATGTACTTATAAAAACGTGTATAATTAAACAGGTGAAGGTTTTTTTATTAAAAGATAATTGAATTTAATATATTATATAATAACAGTGATAAAAATACAATGGTAAATTTGTGGCAATATAATGTTTTTAGACAGCTAAAAATGTCGATGCGACGAATGAATAATTTTTCACTTTGAGAAATGCTTCTCTTTTTAACACAAAGTGTAAAAGAAAACTTTTCGAAAAGTAGAGCATACGAAATGATTCGCGTTCCGACAGCGACTGAATTTCAAATTTGTGGAGCCTGCGAGGCGTTGGTGGGAAATGAGTAAGGAAGGCAAACGAAAATAACCCGCGTCTCGAATGAAAGAAACTTGGATATTCTCGTATCGTGTTTATTTTATGTTACGAGTGCTACTTTACAATCTTCCGCGAATATGCCAATTCTGAATTCTGAGAATTGAGAGATTACATCTGAAAAAACTCTTTCTATATCATTTCTAAGATCAATCTATGTTTTGTTAAGAACACTTTCGGTCAGCATATCAGCCCGATGAATAATCAAACTAAATATTGACGTCAATTTGCGCGCGGCTACTTAGTTCAGGCATTAAACTGGCGTCCAGCCATTAAAAGTTAAGCCAAGCGTACAATATTGCAGTTGGTGCAAACTGTTTGTCATTCTAATTTTAATTTTTTGGGTTACAATAATATCTTGTATGTGTGTAATATTAAGTTAGAATTATTACGTGACGTTAAATGACTTCACCTTGCAAATAATATTACAAAATCTTACGTTCCTCCATGACCACTATTTTTTAATCGATATTACAAAATAATTGCAAAGTTACTTACTTCTCACGTAAGACATGTCGTCATCATGTTCTTCTACGTCACGCTCGGTAACGGAATTCCAATCTGGCGATGGGGTCAACGACCTGGCACGTTGCTTCACCTGTTTAAACATGTTACTGATTATATCTTTCTTGTCGTTTTAATTAGATCGATGAATATTCTCACCTTAATTGAGAAGAAGCTTCTATCACAGCCGTATCTATTTTTGACCAGAATGCAGTAGGTTCCTTCGTCAGAAGGTATGGCTCTTTTTAATGTTAATCTAACATAATCATCGATACTCTCCTTGTACGATCTCGGTCCGTCCGTAATGTCCGTCAATCCTTTCATCCATATTACTAGAACAATGAGGGGGAAAAAAAGTGAAAAACAAGAAAAGAAAGAAAAAAATAATAATATCAAATTAATATTTGATGATACCTCGCGGCTTAGGGGTGCCGCTGACTCGGAACGATATACTGACGTCTTCGCCAATGGTTACATCAATCGATTTTTTAGACGGTCTCGAAGCGAATATCGCCGGTTTTCCCCCATCAATAGCACTCGTTGATATTATATCCACTGTCGCGCTTGTATCCACTTGTCCGTAAGCATTAATCGCTCTACACACGTATGTACCTCTTTCTGATTCTGTCGCTTCGGGTACAATTAACGTATGCAGTCCACGCTCGACAAAAGTTTTTGCCTTTGGTATCGCGATCGGTTCCCTTCGATCACCGCGTAGCCATTTCACTTCCGGAGCTGGTACACCTTCAATAAATCAATGAGAATTTTACAATTTAATTTGTCACTCAAGCATTATACTCACCTTTAACTTCTACTTGAAGAGCGATGGTCCCGCCAGCAGTTACACAGTGATCGCTTAGGATATTGGAAAATCGTGGCCTTCGCACAATCTCTGATCCAGTTTCGTCCCCATATCGTCGAACGTTTTGTCTCGCAGATTGCCAATCTGCGAGACAAAAAATTATATTATTGTTTATATTTCAACGTAACTATATTAATTTATATAATTGTATTCTAATCACCTTCAACATGAACCATATGAGATATTTCTTCCGTATGTAACTCGTTTACCGCGCGGCACGTGTATTGTCCATTATCTGCGACATTGGGATCTGTTATTTCTAATCGATACACGTCGTCATCGAGATAGCTCGATTTGTAACGTTCGCCCTGAAGAATCTTTCCGTCTTTTAGCCACGAAATCAAAGGAGCCGGATGTGCTCTTACACGGCATTCCAGAATGAGCTTATGGTCGGAGTATCGATAAGTGTCTACGATTTAAAAACATTTTTACATTAAAATGCAATTACGCTTACAAGTTTATTTATATAAAAATTAAAATAAATATCATATATGTGCACACACATACCTTTTATTGACTTTACGAAAGTTGGAGGTGAATGCGTAAGTTTATAGTCGGAGTAGACTCTCAAGGTAGACTCGGTGGACGAAGTGCCGTGCGCGTTTTCAGCTACGCATGTATATATCCCGGCGTCCGCAGGAAGTGCGTCATGTAATTCCAAATAAGCCATGCCATTTTCGTATCGCATTTTGTAGCGACCAGCTGTGGCATCTAATTTTTGGTCGTCTTTTGTCCAGTACACGCGTGGTTCTGGATTACCGAGAACGGTGCAAGTCAGTCTTATTCTCATTCCAACTCCTACGACTCTGTTTGTTAATCTTGTGCAGAAAGATGGTTTTTTTGGTTTGTCCCACGGAAGAATCTGTATCAAATAAATGTTTTTATAAATAATATGTGTTTAAAGGCCCTTGAAATTTAAAATAACGATAGTGTTTGAGGATCCAAGGCCGAAGACAGATGAAAGTTCTTTTAAAGGACAATAAAAGGAAATTTAAAAGAACTTTTATCTGTCTTTGGATCCTCAAACACTATCGTTGTTTTTATAAAATTATTATTGGAATGCAATAATGCAAACTCGAAACCACTGACATCGCGATAGGGGAAGCACGCACACAGGTGAAAATTGCCTACGTCACGTGTCCGTGTGCGTTTAGCTATTCGATTACCGGTACACTTGTGTGCGTACTTCCTCTGTCGCGGTGCCATGGTTTCGAGTTTGCATCACTATCGGAATATAATTTTATTTATAAGATATTAAAAAATAATTGGACATTGAATAGCTACCTCGCTTCGGCTGTGACCGGAAGTATAACTGGACGAACTAGAGTCGTAAGTATCGAGATTGATACGTGAGATAGTCTCTGCCTTTGTGTATCGTACAGGCCGGATGTGTGTGCTCGGCACAATAGTGGAATCGCTATCGCCAGTCGAGTAATCTTCGTACTTCAATAAACTAATTGATCTCGCGCGAATCATGCGGTTTTCTCTTTTCCTGCGCCTTCTGTATGACGATCCTGTATCGAAGTAATATTTATCCATGAAAGATCCGCGTAACTTATAATCCCAGTAATCGTCGATTTTTCTTCTATTTAACGATGTCAAGGAATCTCTCCAGCTGTATGATCTGGAAGTGCTAGAAAGCCCTGAGATGCCAGAGTCATACGAAGAAGTATACTCTCGAGTCGAATAGTCGGCGTCGAAAAACATTGAAGCCGATTTGTCGAAGCTGTATTTGCTCTCCAACATATTCTTAAGAAAGCGATCGGATTCATTTTCACGTCTTCTGGACCATTCATTCTCTCTTCTTTGTTCCTCCCTTCTGTGTTTGTTTCTCAATATCTCCTCATCTTGTCTTTTTCGTAATCTTTGTTCCTCTTCCCGTAATAATCTAGCAGTCTCATCTCTCCTGATTCTCGTTTCCTCGCTTCTTTTCTGTAATCTTTCCATATCTGCTCCAAACACATAGTCGGCCTCTTCTCTTCTGGATCGCCCGACGGCTCTTTTCTCTTCCGAACGCTCTATTTCTATTTGACGAAGCCTGCTGTCATCATATCTTTTTTGACGATCGGTTTCCTCTTTTTGAATTCTGTATTCATCTCTGTATTCACTCTGTATTCTGTATTCACCTCTGTTAATATGCTTTTCTTGTCTTGTGCGCAACCAATTTTCGTCGTCTTGAGATTTCTGTTGTCTCTGCATCTTCTCTCTTTCCATTTCTTTAAATTGCGATTTGCTCTCTTCTTGTTGCCTACGAAGTATTCTCCTATCCTTTTGTTTTTCCTCGTCCAACTTTAAATGCGAACCTTTATCTTCTTTTAATTGTATGTCCTGAATTTTCCTGCTTAGTTTTTCGTCTTCCTTTTGATTTAGACGTGTCTTTTTATCTTGTTCTCGATCTTCTTTTACTTCTTTATATTCTTTCTTTACGTCATTTATGTATTCACTTTGCGGTTGTTGCGCCACCGCGTTTTCTTTTTCAGTTTTAACAGTATCCTCTTTTTTCCTTTTTATTTCCTCTTTTTCTTTTTCTAGTTTTCTATCTTCCCGTTTATCTTTTTCTTGCGTGGTCTTTTCCTTATCCTCTTGTATATCCTTTTTTGTTTTTACTTGACCGTCATCTGTTACCTTTGCTTTTTCAATTTGAGTTATCTGTTTTTGTTCATCATTTTCTTTCTTCGATTTTTTAGTTTCATCCTTTCTTTTTTCCTCTTCTTTTATCTTTTCTACAGGTTTTTCTTTTTTACTAGATTCTTCTTTTTGTTTTTCTAATTCTACAATTTTTTCGTCTTTTTTCTTTTCTTCCTCTTTTATTTTTTCTATTGTTTCCTTTTTCTTTTGTTCTTTGTCCTTTTTCTTCGATTTTTCCACTTCTTCCTGTCGCCTTTGGTCCTCTTCTGTTATTTTATCTTGTGCTGGTTTTTCCTCTTTACTAGACTTTTCTTTCTTTGTTTCCGGATCTTCAACTTTTTTGCTTTTTGCTTTCTTGTCTTCTTCCTCTTTCACTTTTTCTTTTATTTCCTGTTTCTTTTGCTCTTTCTCTTCTTCCTTTATTTCTTTTTGATCTTGTTGCTTTTGTATTTTTTCTGTTTTCAATTGTTTATCAACTTCTTCTTCTTTCTGAATCTTATCTTTCTTAATCTTGTCTTTATTTTGTTTTAAAGGTTCATATTTTTTATTTTTAAGATCTTCTTGTTCCATCTCTAGATTCGCATTTTTTTCGATAATCTTGTGTTCCTCTTTTTTCTTTATTTCTTTAGTTTCCGCTTCGTTATCGCGCTTGTCTTTTTCTTTTTCTATTATTTCAGCTTCTTTCACTCGTTTACCTTTCTGTTCTTTTTGCTGCGCTTTATCAATTGCTTCGTCTTTTATTTGTTTTTCTTTCTCATCCTGTATTTTTTCAGTTTTATCCTGTTTCTTATATTGCTCTGTCATTTCTTCCGCTTTTTTTATTGTGTCTTTATCTTTTACGTCTTTTTGTTCTTCTGTCTTTTCTATTCTTTCAATCTCTTTCTTTTGTTTTGATTGCACTTTTTCTTCTGTTTCTTTGACTTCTTGCGTTGTCTTACTTTCTGCTTCTTTTACCTTTATGTCTAGGTTTTCTTCCTTTCTTTCATCTGGCTTTTTCTTTTCTTGTATAATTTTTTCCTCTTTCTTTTGATCCACTTTTTCATCTTTTTCTTTTTTAGTTTCATCAACTTCTATGATTTTCTTAGACTCTTCCATTTCATTTCGTACGCTTTCAGCTATATCTGTTTTTTCATCTTGTTTTTCAATTTGTGTTATTTTTTCAGCTTTTTCTTGTTTTTTTAATCTTTCAATTTCTTCTGTTTTCTGACGTTCTACTTCATCTTTTTGTATTTTTTTATCTTTAATACTTTTCTCATTTTGTTCTACTTTTTGTTCACTTTTTTCGCGTTTTGTTTGTTCCTCGTTCTCTTTCTGCGTTTTTTCAACTGCTTCCTTTTTCTTTTCAATTACTTCCTCATCTTTACTTTTTATTTGAATAATCTCTTCCTTTTGTTTTTGATGCTCTTCTGTCTCCTTAAATTCCTCCTTTTCCTTTGTAGATTTATCATCCTTTTGCGATTCCAATTTTTTTATTGATTTTTCATCTTTTTGATCTTTCCTTTGTTCTACTTTTTCCTCTTCTTTTTCTGATTTTTTCTTATCTTCTTTATCTTTTACGTCATTAATTATTATAGACACGTCTTCATCTTTTGCCGGTTTAATTTCTTCTGTTTTCACTTTTATATCATCTGTTTTATCGTCTTTTTCGACACTTGTTTCAATTTCAGATTCTTTTAACTTTTTCTTTACAGATTTCTTTTTAGGTGCCGCATCTAATGTCCAAATCGCCTCTTCTAACAAAAGTTGATCACACAAAATGTTTATCATAGTTTGCAGTTTGCAAATCGGTTTCTCAAGAATTATTAATCCTTCTAATACTGTTTCCTCACACCATAACGTTTTTGCCGCTTCTATCGATTCTTGCAACTCATATAAGCATGGTATTAAACTTTTCGAAACACCTATCGTAGCATCGACATGTGGCGGTTCCGCCAGTGGTTTATCAGCTGATTGCTCTCGTATTATAGCGACAGATTTATCGAGATTTTGGAGAGCGCTAATCATCAAATTGGCAGTGTTCGGTTTCTCTTGTATCTGTGTGATACATTGTTTAATATTCTGTAAAGGTTTTGCTAACATTACGAGCGCTTGGCACTCGATGTGAATTTCAATCACCGACTCTTGTTGTTGCTCCAGTTTGTGTTCAACAGACTCAATTGACTTGTTAATATCGGAAATAGTATTCGATACTTTCGTCGATAATTCTGAAAACTTTTTATTTTGTTGCGCGGATAAAACTGTTTCGAAAGCATTCTGCACGTGTTCCAACGATTCCTCCAAATCTTTCAGATACACGCTTGGCGATTCTTTTACAGCCACAATGCAACATCTTAATTCGGTTAATGGTGCATTAAGAGTGGCGAAAGTAGAATCCACCGTTGGTTTGTCGACAATTTCTTTCTTAACAACTGAAATGCGATTCTCAAGATTGGAAAAGGACTCGACAACAGCATCGATACTGTCTTCCTCGCCAGTACTTAAGTTATGTTTGTTTATTACTAACGATAAGTTCTCCTGTACATTAATAAGTGGTTCTGTCATAGTTTTGAGAGCTTTAGCTGCGGTAGAGTTCTCTTCCATTCGTGACAGGGCTGATTTAATGCCTTCCACTGGTTTTGCCAATTTCTCGACAATCGACCAGTCCGATGTTTCAGTTTTTCTTTGCTCTTCCACATTTATAGGTTCAGGTTCCATTAGCGTGCATTGTCGAATATCAGCTATGGATTTCTCTATTTCGTGTAGAGGAATCGCTAGACATTCCGTAATCCAACTGTTGCTCGTGTCTTCGGGCATCGACTGAACATCCGGCGACATTACTCGTGTTTCCAAAACGGATAGAGCGCGCTGGAGATCGAACAGAGGCTCAGCCAGTGCGTTTAATATGACATCAGTCTTCGGTCTCTCCGTTGGTGTTTCAATCAACATCTGATCCTGTATTATCGCGATCGAATGGCGCAATTCTTCGAGTGGCTCCATCAAAGGACAAAGGACAAATTCATTTTTACCGTCGACAGCAAATGAATTTTCATTAGCGCGTTCGATAGCCGCCTGTTCTTCAATAATTACAGCAGCTGCATCTTTTAACTCTAACAAAGGCTGTATCATTGTTTTCAGCAGCGAGATATTTTCCTTTTCCGATAAAGAAGTCGTTGTATCGCTCGGCGCGACTATTTTTTGCTCATCGACGATCACAGCTAAGCATTCTCGTAATTCGGTCAGAGGCTTCGCTAGCGTTTTCAACGCAGAAGCTTCATCTTCCGAGATCGACACTGCGACTTCGGCTGGCGACTCAATCGCGCCCTGATCGATTATCATTGGACACGTGATTTTTGAAGAAGGTTCCTCAATCATGTCCGCCCACGTATTCAAGGACGAAGCGCCTTCGGAAATAGTATCGGCGGGTTCCATAATTATCTGCTGATGATTGCACATCGCTATGCGTTCCGTCAAATTATGAAGCGTTTCGGCGAACGTTTCCAATGCTGAAACATTTTGTTGTTGCGCGATTTCGTTTAAGGAATCAGGCGCAACTGCGGTCACTTGCTGAATAGACGCAATTGAAGCTCTCAAATCCACTAAAGGCTGCGCGATCGATTTCAGCAGAGCGTTAGTATCGGCTTCCGATGTGATCTGGTTTCCTGCTTCTAATATTACGTGCTCTTGAACAGTCGCGATTGACTTTTGCACTTCCTCAAGAATAGGTCGCAGAGCGAGCTCTTCCAAGTTCAGAGAAGACAATTCGGTCGCTAGACTGTGTCCATCGTGTTCAATTACGTGCTCTTTCTGCACCGTTGCGACAAAAGATTTCTCAAGTTGTTGCAAGGGACCAACCAGACTGCTTAACACAGTAGCTGGTTTCCTCGTTTCCGCAACATCTAAGACCTCGGATTCTTGCATTTTAGTCTCTTCGATGATCAAAATCTGCTCTTGTAATATCCGCAAAGGTGCGATAATATTTTCAAGAAGCTGCGCGTCTACTTTGGTCGGTTGTTTGAGTTCCGCGCTTGTCGCGAAAGCGTCGATAATTCTAGGCCGTTCGACAGTAAGCGAGCAACACTTTTTGAACTCTTCAATGGATTTCGCGAACGCTTGCAGCGCGGACGCGTTTTCTATCTCCACAATCTGTTGACCAGCGTTCTCTATTGCATTCAGCTGTTGCAGGACTACCGTTGATGTCCTTAAATTACCAAGAGACCTCGCGAAATCTTTAAGTATCGCCAAGTCGTCTGCATTCGCCTCCGCAAGTAAATTATCCTGGACAATCATAACTTGATCTTGAATCACGGCCACGGATTTATTCAAATTGTCCAATATCGGCTTGATTGGCAATCGTTGCAGAGATAGAGCGATTTCTTGATGAGATGCGGTTAAGAAAGATTGCTGTAACTCTTGCAGCGGTTGTACCATACATTCTAAAGCGACGATTTTCACTGCTTCCTTTGCTTCCAACGCTTGAGATACTCGATCTTCGAGTTTCAGAATAGCACTCTGCAGTCCTTCTATTGGAATAGTCATCGTTTTCAACAAAGAAGTTTCCCGAATTTCTGGCTGCGTTATATCTTGCTTAGCTGCAATCGCCAGTTGATTCGCTGTTTCTTCAACCGATTTCGCAAACGTTAGCAAAGTCGATACTTTTTCAGTTTCAGTAACTTCGTCGAAATGATCGACAATTTCCTCGACAGTTGCTAATGGCGTTTTCAAGCTTTCGAGAGCTTCGTTCAATGTTTTTGCCGCTAGAATATTTTCGCTGGAGACTTGCTGCTGGACTACAGTGATCGAATTTTTCAGCTCTTCCAGCACGGGCTTTAGATTCGCGCTTGTCAACGGAGCTTGACTTTCGCCAAGTTCCTTTGTAACTTCTTCTTGCGCAATTGTAATCTGTTGTATACCTGTCATTAGTGACCGTTCGAGTTTCTCCAGAGGCTCCATCACCGCACTCAATTGAACAACGTCTCTTTTTTGTTCTGGTATTTCTAATAATTCTGCTTTTTGACTGTTGAGCTCTTCAATTTCAGAAAGTGTTTCGCGTAGAACATGAATCGGATCAACGATTTTATGTACAATTTCCGAATCTAGTTTCTGTTTTTCTTGCTCAACGATTTGCAATGGCGGCGCAGATTCTGCTTCTACTTTTAATTGATCGATAATACACACGAATTTTTCTCCAAATTGCTCCACCGATTTGGCAAGAGTTTGCAGAACTGCAATCTGTTCAGCGCTTAAAAATTCCGCGTCCTGAATAAGTTGATAAGTTGTTGGATCAGATTGAATACAAGCGACTGACATTTTTAAATCTTCTAATGGTTTCTCGACAGCTTGCATTAAACGTATCTTCGATGATTCACCGACCTCGGCTGCGGTATTAAGCTGCACTTGCTCTCGAACTGTTGCAATTGATCTTTGCAATTCTTCCAAAACACACACAATATTTAACTTTTGTAACGGCACTGTGTCTTGTTTTATTTCTTCGGCTTTTTCGGACGGTAATGCAAGCTGTAAATTTAACAACGGTTCTATTAGAGTCGAGAATGAAACTGTTTTCTCGTCGATAGATTCCAAAACTCCCACTTCTCCGATTTCGTTAAATGATTCATGCAATATTTGAAGAGGAGAGATGATCGCTTGCAAAGTTTCAATTTTTACTCGGTTTTCCTGAATATCAGTTTCAGATAATTGAACTAATTCTGTCTTTTGCTGATCAATCGTTGCAACACTTTGTTCCTCAACTTTTTCCAAAGATTCCTCTGCTAATTGTATCACTTCTTTCTTTTCGACTATTAATTCTTCGGTTTGGCTAGAAGTTATCTGCGGTGGTGTCTCTATTTTATCTTCTGTTGCTGATCTCTCTGCGAATGATTTATTTAATTCTGTTTTCTCCATCGATTTTGAATCGTCAATATCTTTCGAATCAATCGCGTCTGTAGAAGGCAAACTAGACGGTGAGGTCTTGTCGCATTTTACCTGTTCCTGAGAATCCATAATAGCTTCTATGAGTTCTTCCAAAGGCCGTGCAGTTATTTCTTCGATGTCTTTTGCTTCTTCTTTTACTTTTGATATTTCCGTTTCTCTCTCATCAGCAATTGTAACACGTTTCGATATTTCAATCGTGTTTAGAGATTTAACGGTATCATTAATGCATGGTATTAAGTCTTTTGCAATTGCAGATAATAACTCTTCTTTTTTGTCAAAATTCTTATTTTCATCAATCGTCTGATATATGGATGCCAATACATTTTTAAGGGCGTCTAAAGGCTCAGCAAAGGATTGTAATAATGTCATGATATTCTCCTTTAATTCCGGTCTCACTCCTTCTTGAGCCGAAGAAGTGATCGTCTCGACAGCTTGTTCTAAATCAGTAAGTATATCTTTCATACGAAAAAATGAGCTATCGAGTAACTGAATAGACGAAGCAGATAATATCGTCTTAATGGAACTATTTGTCGCTTGTAGATCGTAAAAAATTTGGATCAGTGATGTTAGCTCTTGTATTTTCCGCCTGTCCTCTTCGGCTTTTGAAACCAGTGATTCTTGCGCGGCAGATTTCACGAAATTGGCCAGTTCTCGTAATGGCTGTGGTAGATTACTTATTGCAGAATTGAACTTTGACATCTGAGTTGTCAGATGCTTTTGCTCTTCGTTTTCTTGTTGATTCTTCTCGTGCTTTTTCACGTCCGCCAAACTGTCTTCTGTTTGTTCAAGACGATTCGCTGCTTCTAGATTTTCCAAAATTGGTATTTGTGTCGCTGTAGGTGTATCTGCAATTTCTGCTTGAGTGACTTCTTGAACCACTGCTTTAGATGTTGGTATTTCCGTGATCGTCATTACGCTCTCAATTTCTTCTTGCGATATCTCTACGACCTCATCGGTGACACTTTCCACTTTCGTGATGACCATGCTTGCATTCTGTTCGACTTTGGCTTTCTCGATGGTCATTATAGAATCGTTTACGTGGTCTAAAACGTCTATAACGGCGGAAAAGGTTTCGATAATCGGTGCTCCTTTAGAAGCGCCTTCTTGAACAAGTTCCGCTTTGTGCGCCGACAAAGACGAGCTCAGTTCTGAGACAGAGTCGGCTAGTTCTTGAAGCTGAATTATTAAATCATGCGAAATCGCCGAAGGGGTTTCCTGCGTATTCTCTTTGAGAATGTTTAACGCCGACAAAAGTTGATTAGTTGGATAAAGGAAACCTTCTATGATTGCCTCTTCGTCAATCGGCTCTGTGCCAAGCTGAATGAACTGTATTTGCGTAAAGGAGATTTGTTTCTGCAACGCCTCCAAGCACTTAGATACTATTTTGTGCGTATTTCTATCAGCATTCTCTTCTAAAGCTATTATAGCGCTCGCTATACGATTCAACGTTCCGCTAAGTCGATGTTGAAGAGGGATCTTGACGCTGCTAGATCGGCGCGAATAATCGGTTTTGCCAATCTGTTTTTGCACCTGCAGAATCGCGGAATTGAGCGACGTCAAAGATTCATTGAATAAGAGGGCTTCTTCCATATTCGCTATCACTTCGACAGTGTTGCAAACTTGCTTTCGTAAATCATCAACCGCTCGTAGAATAACGCTTCTCCTTTCTTCTAACAAAGCGGTTTCAGGAACCAAGCTTCTTCGACTGCTTTGTACCATTGAAAGACAGCTATGAAATTCTAGCAGGGGTTCGAGAAGATTTCGCAATTCGAGAACCATTGGTCCACGTCGATCAAGTACATTTACTTCTTGAATAGCTGTCTTGATGTCTTTCAACACAGTGGCGATTGGTTTTCCTAAAATTTTCGCGACGTCTGCCTCGAGGGTTTCCTCCGCTGTTTTTTCCAAATCGTTCATACGCTCTGTAATGCTTTCCAGAGGCTTCGAGATGTCCCAGAGACATTCTAAAATTTTTCGCCTCGATGATATTTCTTGAACTACGATCGGGACTTCCTCTTTGATTTCCTTCAGCACGCACAAAAGTAATTCGAATTCTTTTTCTGCATCTCCGCTTCTACCGACGAAATCGACTGTTTGTTTTATCACGTTGTTTTCTATCGTGTTCAACAACGGAGTGAGCCGATTTAATATCATAAGTTCCGGAACGTCGTGCTCGTGCGGTCTGGAGAGAAGCTCTTTTATATTTGTGAGCGGCTGCATTAAATTGGTTAGTACAAGAGTTGTCTGATTGACCTTTTCTTCAAATGACTCAATTTTTTCGCCGTAGACGGTCATTACGCGTATTGTGGAAACGGTTCTTCTTAACTCCTCGAGGGAATTAGCCAATTTCGATTGAGGGATCGCAGTAGTTCGCGCAGTCGATTCCTCAAAATCTTCCAAAACACCAGTCATCTCCAGTTGAACTTTTTCCAAGGTTTCTGACAAGATTGCGATTAATTTTTTCGCGTTCTCCTCTTTTTCTCGCTTTTCGTCCTTTACAGTCTGTAAAGCGACATCCTCAGCTAGTTTTTTGGAAGTATCTTCTGTTACGGCTTGTTCAACAGGCAATGCGATCGATTCAGCCTCAAACGATGTAGACGTAATTTCTGTCAAAGTGCCTGGAATTGTTTCTCGAGACGCTGTAATGGCCTCTTCTTCTTCTTCCGTTTCCACATTGGCTATTTGGACAGATTGTTTAAGTTCTTGCTCGTAAAGAGCATCTTTGATCGTAATCGGTATTTGATTGTCGATCTGTTCAACGATATCTGCTATCGGCCGTAGAGACTCCTCTTTCGGATGTTCACGAAGAACGTCCATGACGGTTTGCAAAAGATATTTTATAGGCTGACTCAAGTTTTCTAAAGTCGAAAGATCTTCCGGCCCGTTGTATTCAGAAATGGCGTTTTTGAGCCTTATTAGTGGTTCCCGAAGATCAATCAGTGCTTCTATCAAGCTTTCGTCACTTGGTGGCTCAGAATATGACGTTTGAATGGCAATCTGAGTCACATCTCTCTTCAATTCCTCGATCGTTGAGCTCAGTGCAGATTGCATCTCGTCTCTTGTACTAACTTCGGATGCACTGGATAACCAATGTTTAATGGGATCCAAAGAATGACTGATTCGACCAGCGAGAATGGATTTCGAGCTACTTTTTTCCTCCGCATGTTCTTTTTGAGATTTTGTAGCACGTGCTTCTTGAGATTTTTTCTTCGATATTTCTTTTGCTATAAGAGTTACATCCTTCTCTATTTCTTCCAACAATTCCAACATGGGCGTTATTGTTTCGATTGAAGAGCTATTTTCAATTACGCCATGAATTATGTCTCTCAATATACTGATAGGATTTATCAAGTTATTTAAAATATGCTCCTCTCCTGGTTCGTGTTTTTCTGTTAATAAATCTCTCTGCAGATCCAGCAGCGATTCGTTCAATTTACTAATTTCTCGAGTTATCTCATCGTCGACTGGATTCTTCAAGTTCGCAATTATAACGGCCGAAGAACCGACTGTCTGGCGTAACGTCTCAATGCATGTAATTAAATGGAACGAGACCGTATGTTTTTCTTGCTTTTCTAAAACCGACGATAAAGCAAAGTGCACGTTACTTAAACTTTGGTCGATGTTCAGGTTCTTTAATACGTGTTTCTCAGCAGCTTTCACGTCTGATAGCTGCCCCACTAATTTTGACAATTGTTCATCGGTATCTTCCAGTACTTTGAAAATTGTTTTCACCCGCGAAATTGCTTCGGAATTTGCAGAATTTTGCAGTATCGTTACAACAACGCTTTTTAATTTTTCAATGGCAACGGCTGTTTCTTTTATCATCGAAAGTTCCCGAATATCGTGTTTCTCCGACGCCAAAATTAATTGAAGATCCAACAGGGGCTCTCTGAATTCCATTAAGCTATTTAATGTCTCATTCTCTCTCAGCGTCATCGCGGTGTGCGCTATGTGAGACACGCACTCTCGTAATTCGATTAAGCACGCCGCGAGTCCCGGCGCTGTTAATCCTTGTTGCGGACTACTAGTTCCGTTCACCGCAAGTTTCGATTGTTCCATGTAATCTAAGATCGCGCTAAACGCCGATTGGATGTCGATTAACGGATCTACAATTTTTTCCGATACTTTTCGAGATTCCTCGGAGATCGATTTTGTCGGGGTTAATTCCTTCGTCTTGCTGGAAATATGTTTTTTGATTATTTTCAAAACTGCCAACGTAGGCTGCAAAGATGATAACTCGAGATTTTCGACAACGTGTGACAATTGAACAATGGACGGTTCGAGAATATTGCGAATAACTTCTACGTCTTCCTTCGATGTGGTTTTATTAATTGTTTTCAGCAGCGCATGCAGCGGGCTTTCGAGATCGATCAAGGTTTCAATATCCACATCTTTTCCTTGCGGAGCATCCAGTGTTCGATATATATCGTCGATCCGCTCATAAATACTGGAGAATAGCGGTATTAAAATATCGGGCACTTTTTCGCAGATCTCCAACGCTTTGCGCAGAGCTGTTCTTGGCTCTAAAAGAATGTCTTCTATCGGCTCTTGAATTTCTTCCGAGGTACGGATGCCGACTTCCTGCGCGCTTCTTAAATTGTCCAACAGTTCCTTCACCGCCTCTCGCTCGATTTCGCTTCTGACATTCATTTCTGTATTATCAATTGATTCTATAAGTTGATACTGTTTTATTGCATCAACTCTATCTCTCGATCTGCTCCTTCCTCTCTCTTCGTAGTCGCTAGGGCCGGAATATTCCTCAGAGCTTCCAGAGGCTTTTCGTTGCTTCTTTTTGCGTTGCTTCCTCTTTTTCGGGACACCAGTGACAGAGTCAAAAGAGGAGTCACCGCCGATACCGTCGTCCAGACTGGAACCGGTTGATCTTCCCGCGCTCAAACTGCGCTTTCTGCTGTCAGCTACACCGCCCTCCGCTGTAATGTGTCTCTGGATTAAACTTTCTGTGATAGAGAGGTGTGCGGAGGACAGAGCGTCCGCAAAAGTATCGCTGTCGTCTTGCTTGAAAGACGAAAGCGGAGACAACGGCGGCTCGTCTTTCTGAGCGCTGTGAAAGCTCTCAGATTCGATTCGCTGGCTTTTCTCGCTCTTCGACGACGACATGCTCGTTGATTTCTTTCGAGGTGGCCTGGTAGGAGCTTTTTCGTCCTCATCTCCATTATACCGGGCTGATCTCTTCAAAGAGCCTCGAGAATCGCGCTCGGGCGATGAAAGGACGTGCGTTACATCGTCCAAAATAGAGACATCCTCGAAGTCGGCTTCCGTCCGTAAATCATCGCCGTCTTCCGCGCTGACGAAATAATCGGGCGACACGTCGATTACTACGGCTTCCATTAGTAAATTACCGGAAGTGGACGTTTCTTTGACAAATCTCATTGGTGGTAGCTCGATCACATTGTGTTCTATAAACGCCGCGTTACATTTTAGCATTTAATTATTGTTATTATAATATTATAATAAATCGACAAAAATACATATTTTACCTGTCACATGCTCGGACAACTGATCGGCGTACATTTCAACAATCTGTAGCGCTTCTTCCTCGGTAAGATCAGGTGTTTCATACAGACTGACCGACACTTCCTTGCCGTCAAAGCTGAAGGACACTTCGCCTCGCTCGTCCAAAGTGACAGAATGATCTGTTTGCGGCGTATCGTACAATTGAGAAGTTCGCTCCTCGTGTATCGTTGACAACGATAGATTTCTCGCCAGTTCATGGCCATTCGGCGATTGAATCTCCTTTATATCTTTTTTATCTAAAATTGAATCCAAAAAATTACAAAATTGCAAACAAATTTTAGTATGCCTCTTAAAAATTATGCAAAAGAACTGTGCAATTAATAAGTTTTATTACATGCGCGAAGAAAATTACCTTCGAATCCTAACAAAGACGCGGAACTACTGACGGTTCCCATACAATTGCTAGCTTCGCAAGTATACGTTCCTAAGCAGCAGGTGCCGTCTTGCCCGGAAATGATTCGATGTATATCGCCGGGCTTGAGTTCGACATTGTCTTTGTACCATTTTAAAACCGGCTGCGGAACGCCTATAACTTTGCACTCCAAATTTACGGCGCCTTCTTCCGACAGAATCGCGCGCAGACTCTCGAGAAATTTCGGCTTCTTGTAATGCTTGGGAATGATTAGTTTCAGAAAGCAGGAAGTGACGCTGTGACCAAAATCGTTTGTAGCCACGCATTTCCATTCGGCCTAGAGAAATGCGGATAAATAGCTGATTATTGCTTTTATTGCAGCAAATATGATTGTGCATCTCGTGATTACTTACTTGATCGACAAATTCGAGCTTTCGCACTTCGAGATGACACGTGCCAAGATTTTCCTTTGCCGCGTGATATTTATCAGATTCGTCTACTAACGCATCGTCTCTGTACCAAGAAAGAGTCGGTTCTGGTGCAACGCTTACTAAAGAAAAAAATCACTTTATTCAATGTGATGCAAAACTAAGAATTACAACAGAATAATAATTGTTCAATAATTTGTTTATTAAAAAAAAAATAGAACAATACAAGTACCTTGTACTGTAAAGCGAAAATCTTCGCTTATTCTCGCCTCGCAACTTCTGAGGCCCTTTATGAATTTTGGTGGCTGATTAGTGCTCAACAGTTGAAAACGTTCTTCTTCATTTAATTGATTCTGGATATCTTCGATAGTCAATTCAGCCGTACTTTTGGCTTCTCCCATGCAATTTCTCGCGATACAACAATATGAACCTAAATGTTAAAAATATATATACGTCGAGAAACGAAGAAGAGAATGATTAATTTAACAACCGCGCACCTAATGAATTAGTTCCGGTTAATTGATAGACGTCTCCCGGTTTAAGTTCTTGACCATCTTTAAACCATCTCAGCAACGGCGTCGGGAAACCTACGACTTTGCATTCGAACGAGACAAGACCTTCTTCCGTCAAGACTGCTTTCAGATTTTCCATAAATCGCGGTTTTCTGTAGTTCCTCGGAACTAGTCAAAAACAAAACAAACGTTAGTACAACGATTATACTTTTCTTTGTCACAAACTGACTCTTTATTATTATAACACGCACTAGACATTGCTACGTAGCAGCTCGTGAATTGTTTCATATTCTCTTCGCTGGTAGCGACGCACTTCCATTCACCCTCATCCACGGCTTCTACTTGCTTTACTTCGATTGAGTAGCCCCCGATGCCATCTTCCATTATGTGATACTTGTCGCTGAGTTCGACGCGGCCTCCTTTGTTGTACCAAGCGATTGCCTTCGGCCAGGGTGGTACTTGAACTATCAACGAACGCATATAAATATAGCATTGAATGAAGATAACAAAAAATATGTTAATTAAAAATCATTAAATTGTAATTATAAATGACAGATCATTAATTGATCTACCGCGGCAAGATAGCACGAGGGTATCTCCAATCCGGCAACATTCGTCTTGGAGTATCTGCTTGAATACCGGTAGCGGTCCGGATGGCGCCAAGGCGTCCGCTGGTTTCAGCGAACCTTCTCGGCTTCCTCTTCCGACTACGTGAACCTGCAAGAATAGAACAATGACATGTCGGTGAAAAATCGATGTCGGAGAAATATAAAAAGATTGTTACAATCGTCATCGCGCGATCATAAGAAACGCATTTACTTTTGAGGATGAATAGGCCGTTCCCATGCAATTGATCGCCTCGCAAGTATAAACGCCGAGAGAAGTTGGATCATCGGCATTAGCGGTCAAAGCGAACACATCACCGGCCTTTATCTCCTTGCTGTCTTTGAACCATCTTAATACCGGCGTGGGTACACCGATTACCTTGCATTCCAATGACACGGTACCGGTCTCAGTGAGCAGCGCGCGAAGTTCTTCCATGAATTCCGGCTTTTTATAAGCCTTGGGAACTGAGAATTGATCAAATTTGCGATTAATTTAAGACAATTAAGTTAAAAACGCGAGAAAAAGAACAAGACCAATCACCAATGACGGTGAGATTGGATGTGCACGAGGATCTTCCGCTACGATTTTCCGCCATACAAGTCCAGCAACCCTGATCCTCGACCGTGACGGGGGCGACGTCGACGCAATGAAAATTTCCCTCGTGAACGAGGGAGAACCTCGGCCCTTCGTAAATAGGCGAGTCATCTTTATACCAGCTTATCTAAAATTAGTGAGTTTAAATTTAATCGTGGAAAAACTATGTCCGTTTAATGAGCCGTTTGATACTACTTTATTGTAATACGGTTCACATATGTTAACTATCTGCTGTAACAAGACACCAGATAATGCATTAGCTACTTCACATGCGGCGGAAGAGACATGCGAAGGAATATCGGAATATATAGTCCCTGGCATAGTATGCGGGCATGCGTAATAATAGTATTAATACGACGCACAAGAACGCGTAACCAGCTTCCTTTACTCTTCGCCGTCTTTCGTCGCGAGTTCAGGTCATGGACCTCTCCGTGCCCATCTTAGTTCGCTTTTCCCGTTTCATCTGGTACTAGGATAGAAGAAGGAAGAGAAATGTCTGACAATAAGTCAGACTGCTGCTAGCATCAGTTCCATCTTCCGGGTTGATCGCAGTAGTTGGCACAATATGTTAGGTGTCTATCTTAGGTCAGGACGTCTCTTACGTCATGTTACAAATATGGCTATGCAAATTTACCAAATGGAACTTTCTGGCATATATATATGCCTTGTTAATGTACAAACTATTTAATTAAACTAATATTTTAGCAATAAGAAAAACTTATTTGCGGCAAAATACGCAAGAATAATTTTCACTCTTTTAACAATTCTCTTTGTGTATTAAATCATACCTTCAAAGTGGTTGAACTTCGAATTTCTACCAGAAATCTGGTTCGGGTGCCGACTTTTACCGCAAGATCGCTCAATCTTCTTAAAAAAATCGGAGGATCGCCCTCTTCGTAGCTCGGTTCGCTGACGCTCAGATGGATTTTTTTCAAGGCTCCTTTATCTTTTTCTTGTCCAAGTCTTGTTGCTACCAGAGAATAGTAGCCCGCATCATTCTTACGCGTTTGCTTCAAAGCCAGTTGCACGATATTTTCTCGCATCGATAATCGATAACGATCCGATGAAATTGGTAATCCATCTCGAATTCTGTAAATTTGTAATTCAACAATATATATCAAAATTTACTTCGAGTAAAAAATAAGAAAACAGAAAGTGTAGCGTAAATCTGCGGAAGGAAGTGTAGTGATTTAATAATAAATATCAACAAATCAATGTGAAAAAGTATGTTGCTGCAGTACCCTGATGGAAATATTTTTTTGAAAATTTAACGAAATTTTGCTGAAATGTGTTTGAAAATTTTCCTTAATTGACGCCATTAATTAATTTCATAAATATTTCAGCAATTTTTCATTAAAAAGTAACAGTTTTCAGTTTAATTCAGCAAATTTCATAATGATAATTATTTCAAAACTCTTTTATTACTTTTCAGCAGTATATTTTAATTTTCCTTATATTTCATAGTATTACATTAAATTTTCATACGGAAAATTATGATTTATTTTGAAATATATTCAGTAATTTTTCAAAAACTTTTATTTTACTTTTATTGATTTCATAGTACTTTCAGCAAAATATTTCCATCAGTGTATTGTTTAAACATTACGACCACACTGTTTACTTTAATTCACCAAGTGCACTTGCTTGTACTTCTCTTCGGGATTATGGCTAGTGTCCAATCAGATCGACGAATCTATTTACCGTTTGTCTATCAGCGTTTTCGATTTATACGATTCGAACCGTCCCGAAATCAGTTAAGATCAAGTTTCATGAATTCACGCTTAACTTTATTTAATTCGATACATTTAAATAAAATTTTAATTAATATATCATATTAAATATCAAGAAAATAAAATTGCTAAGTTATATTTTTTTCCACGTTATACATCAAGATTCGTCAGTGCGACGGCGATTAAATTTTAGAATAAATGAAATAGAGGGAAGACTATTAGAGTTATATTTTATTAAGATTAGTATCGTAACAATCTGTTATTTTGTTTCTGCATATGCGTGTTTTTACGTCTACGAAAAATATATTTCATCGGCCCGGCATATTTCGGGCAGCAGAATGATCTAGAGTCTTGGCATTGCTCTACTGCCCTATTTTTGTCACCTTTTTCGCAGCATGACGAGCTCGTTTAGAACCGAAAAAATAGTCTACGTCTAACAAGCACGATCTATTGACGATCATCTTCGCTTGTTTTTTTCTCAACATAAACAAATCTCCAATTATTCGCGTTGTGAAAGAAATAGTAAGAACGATCGTGGAACAATCTTAGAAATATCACGTATCAATCAAGCACGTAACACGATGCAGCTGTATGCATCTGACGTAAGACCGGTGAGACTTCACTGACACGACGCGGCGTCGCTACGGTGTATCTTGAATTTTCTTCATTACGCACTTTTTAAACGTATATACACTCACTAAACATACGATTTTGTATATAATATTTAAAATAATAATATTATGCTTGTTGAAACATTTAATTTGATTATTAGCAAAGTTTATATATATATATATATATATATATATATATATATATATATATATATATATATATATAGTATGTATA